TCGGGAATATAGATAAATTAGAAATTGAATTAACTGAAGTATGACATGTTGCAAACAATTGTTTAGAGAAACCCAGAATAACATTTATTGTCCTTTGCCTTCTTATATCTATACGTACCATGAACTTTTCAGAATCAACATTGCTAATTCAAAATTTGAATTTAGAAAATTATTAGACAAAACTGATATTTAGAATGTTATATCACAGAGACACATTCAGAACAAAAAGGACTGTTTTGAGTGGAGTCCTATCTTCCATTTGAACCTAGAGTCGAGTCTCAGCAAGTCTAATATAATCGCCTGCAAGTCCTTCGTTGTGTTCCGTACTAGAAGCTATACCAATGATGTGTTATTCCAAACATAACATGTTTAGTTCATTTCCTATAAATTACCCACAATCATTTTACACAACTGTTATAAAACGGCCACGGAGACATGCACATTAGAGTGAGTGAGTGAGTGTCATATCAACGACTTTCACAGAAAAACGGAGACCACGGAATAACATGGACAGATGTAAATAACACAGAAATACATTTATCCCTATGTTCAGATAATTCAATAACTAACCTCTAGGCACTCCTGAAACAAACTAAAGCAGAGAACCTACCGTGTAAGACAACAAAGCTAATGCAGTTAGTACACCGAAGTACAGGGCTCTATATATCCAGTCATTACACCTGCATCATTCCTGTCTTCCTGTTTGCCCAGATCCAAACCAAATATACCGGTCTGAAAACACAGATGTTGTCCGATACAATATATATAAAACAAGATGAAGCCGAGACAAGATAGATATGGCTCGTTATTCCACTTACTCTGGAGATTCGTATACAATGGCCTCGTGGTTTACACTAATTAACTCTAACAGCCTTTCCGTCCCAATACAGTCACATTACATTTGTTTAATATCACAATCGTCCATATAGGCTGCCTTTATTGTTGTCGAATCCAGGTTGTATATCCGTTCTACAAAGTACTCGTCTTTCAGGCTTGGAACAACAATAGGCCAGGTTTCTGGTCTAAATACAGGCAGGCACGTGTTTAGGATAAACAAATTGTTCAACGCACTGTGGAAGCTTGTAGACTAGATATAGCGATACGTGCAATCTATCATGAAGGTGAAACAGCTGATCACACTGAACACATGTACAGGGAAATATGGTATTAACTTTCAATGCATCTACCAGAGCACAGTTTATGAAAATATTTCTTGATAAGCGCATTAGGTACGTAAGTCCCAAAAACTTTCAAAGTAAAATTTTCACGTATCAAGTTTTTAAACGTAGTATTTTTGTTCTTTTAAATTTCGGCTAAATTCTCCTACAATCGCCAGCGGCTGAAGGGATGATATAAATCCAGCTAGGGTCCATGCAGGTAGCAAAAGTACTGTAAGTCCCCATGGTCCCTAGTTTGGTGATCTACCTTCAGTTGTTGGCAATCTATAGCCCGTGTTTTATATTGTATTGTCTTTTTTAATTACACTGTTTTGTTTTACATGCTAATTTTATATATCTCTGTGATACTCTAGTATTTTTACTGTCCATCGTCGACAGGTTTAACTCTTCACAATGTTTTCATTTTTGTATTATATAAATTGTTTTCGTCACGATATGGCTGAGATATTGCCGATGTGACGTTACATATTAACTCACTCACTCACTGATAAGCGCATGAAGGCACTAAGCCTAAAAGAGCGTTATAAGCGACCGTACTATATCCCTGAACGCTGGAGTTCTCTGCCGAATAGGAACTATGTGGACTGTACTATTACCAGTACGAAATTAGAATGCATTTTATACTTTTATGTACTTTTATGTACATGGTTAATGGTTGTGCGTATTTCCACAAACACACGCAAAGGCAAGTCAATTGTTTACCTGCAAACAAACGGGAACATATTTTAGCCAAATATCAACATGTGTATAATCTGTATAATAGTCTTTATTAATTAGGGTGAGTTGTAGATATCAAATACCTTTTTTGATAACCGTTATCTAATTTTGAGCAAATAGTTATCTCTAAAATGTTACTGAAAAATTCAGTTATTGTCAAAATGCGCTCAGTATATTCAAATCTGCTCCTATAAAACAGCTCTTGGTCTGAGTCAAATAATTTAACATATATTCATTTGGAACCCAGGCCGGTGAGGTTATATGTTCGTGTATCTTTTGCAGTATCCTGATGTTGTTTCTATAAACTAACATGACTGCGTTCCTTTTTAAAACAGCGCCAAGTATTCAAACAGTTCTTGTACCATGAGTGGCGGTAGGCGGAGGTGGGTAGTCTGGTGGTAAAGGCGAAGTCCCGGCTTGGTCTCTCTACATGTGTATAATGTCTGAAGTCCACTTCCGGTCTTCCCATAACGTTTCCGGAATAGTACTAAGAGCGGCGTAAAACCATACTCAACAGGGGCGGATACAGCGTTTTGCACAGTTCATTTTCACCCGTTTTCACGCGAGTTTCAAGGGTCACTTAATATATGAAGTAGTAACGTTTCAATGGTAACGGTACATAGGTTGGTATAAAAATCATTTGACGTATTCAAGATTTAGACACTTCAAAGGGAATCTCGGTATAACACAAGAAATAAATAGATAGGATCTTCGTTATTGTTTGTAGGATATTAACTCAGATCTTTACGGGGAAATGGATCGCATGTATTAGCCTATTCTATTCTCATGCACGTACAAATAACCGCTTGCTACAGCTCAATGTGATTATCATAAATCTGTTTACTGATGAGTCGCGCCACATGTCTATTGTAGCAGAAACATGCCCATCATTATCGGAGATTGAATACCGATTTGCCACACGTGGACTATTTCCGTTGTATCTGATAATATGGACGAATCATGGATTCACGAAATTGACAGTGATTCGTTGATATGGTCTGAATCATACTCGGTTAACAGAGTGTTCTGGTTGATTGGTTTTGAACACTTGACCAGTACGACAGAACCTGCAACAGCAGAAGTGATAAATACTCTAATACTGTAGACAATAACACTTTTTCTTCTATGATTTAAGTGTACGTCAATGTAATTGTACCGACCCTTTGACAAGCAGGGCCACATCGGTATGAATGGAAAGATTAGGTTTGTGTTTTGTACACTGAAATGCAGTATGATTAGTCACATATAATTACACACGAGTGTTTTTAAATATGAGTTACAGAACTGCCATGGAAAGGAAATGAAAAGCCGAAGATTATGAAAAATTGTTACGGAAGTATCGTTCTAAGCCGGAAAGAAATGTGTTCTCCGAAGAGCTCGACTTTTCATGGCCACGAAACTCAAGGGTTTTATTGACTGTTTGTGCTTGTGCTTGTGCTTGTGCTTGTGCTTGTGCTTGTGCTTGCAAGATGTTGGAATTTGGACACGTTAAGGACTTGTTGCGAACTTTTGTATCCATTATTATTTAAGCTTACCTAAAGCTGTGTTTAAGATTTTCTTAAATTCAGATTTGTGTATATGTTGGAGAGCATTTCCAGAGTTAGGAAGGAGTTATCTACCTTGAGTTGTATATGACCATTGGCAGTGTGTGCTGCAAAGTCCATGCGTCTGATCAAATCGCACATATAGACCTCGCCAGTCAGATGTGTTGTTTTTCTTACCAAGGCCTTTAGTGACCCATTTGTGACCTTTTCCTTATTCTTTAAATTGCTTTACATTATTTATAGTTTTATCTTTAAATGACAGCTCTTAGATTGTATCTTTAATGTGAGAGGGCTCAGAGGAAGCCAGAAAAGAAGAGAATAATTTATATTTTGGAAAGATAAAAAATATGATTAGGTATTATGCAAGAAACTCATACTACTCTTGAGCACGAAAAGGTTTGGACTTCTCACTGGGGTAATGATGTCATATTGATATCATATGGCAGTAACTGATACCCAGGGTGGTAATGATGTCATATTGATATCATATGGCAGTAACTGATACCCAGGGTGGTAATGATGTCATACTGATATCATATGGCAGTAACTGATACCCAGGGTGGTAATGATGTCATATTGATATCATATGGCAGTAACTGATACCAAGAGTGGTAATGATGTCATATTGATATCATATGGCAGTAACTAGTACCCAGGGTGTTGTTTAACACATTAACAGTGTGAATGAGTGAGTTTAGTTTTACGCCGCATTCATCAATATTCCAGCTATATGGCGGCGGTCTGTAAATAATCGAGTCTGGACCAGACAATCCAGTGATCAACAGCATGAGCATCGATCTGCGGAACTGGGAACCGATGACACGTGTCAACCAAGCCAGCGAGCCTGACCACCAGATCCCGTTAATCGCCTCTTACGACAAGCATGGGTTACTTAATATCAATATTCTAATGATTTTCCGAATTACATGTATACCCAACCTCCATTTGAAACGTCCAGATGACTGAAAAGTATGTTTTTTTCAAATGAATACCACAACAAACGACAGACTTAAATGCTTGCCAGACGTTTGACGAAGATATGAGATATACTGGACAATCTGTTTCTGTGGTTAGATATTGAAAAGAGACGCACAGCACAATGTTGATGCTTCTCTTGAATATACTGCGAAAAAAAACGACAGGTCAAAGAACCTCGCCCATTAAATTATTGGGTGATTTGCAGTTGGTCGAACACGCTGTCTGAAAAAGCAAGCAGACAACATTATACGTGATTAGAGCTGGTTGTACTTAGTGTCATTTGTATTGATTAGTAAACAAATCAGTTTGTTTGTTGTTTGTTGCCTTTATTCTGAATTGTTTTGCATAAAATTATAGATTTCAAGGTTATCGTATTGTTCCAGTTAGAGACATTGGCGTTATTCCATACACGTATGTATTTGTCAAAACTGGGTTCAAAACTACATCTTGACTCTTCAACACTCAAAGCAATGTGTCGTGTTCTTAACGTGTCTGCACTGATTCAGGTTCCAGTTTGGTACATCAGCGAGCGACTATACAAGGGTTAATATTATGTTTATGTATGCATACACAGGTAGACCCACGTGATCTGAATACAGCATTGTGTGGTGCATGTAGCTGACTGTAGCTGGAGAACAGGTTAGTGTGTGTGTTATGAATGATATAATATGTCGTGATGAGGTTGCAAACAGAAATATCATCATATATGATAACATTACAGTTTAAGAGCATCTGTTTGATTTCCATCATTTAGATCAGAAACCCCCTTCCTATCATTGTCGGGTTGTTTGATCTGACATCGTCTCCAATGGCCATATGGGTGGCGGTCGTTGTTTTACTGGTTTGGGTGGAGTGTTGGTGTTGATGGTTTTGGTGTTGTTGTTGTTGTTGGTCGTCGTCGTCGTGGTGGTGGTGGTGGTGGCTACCAGAATATATATCCGTCTCAAACAAAGAACCCGGCACCCCAATGTTTTCTTTGATGCCTTTAAAAGTTGTGCTGTTCATTATTGGCAGCACGACTAATCCGATAGAATAACATCGAACATGGCTCGCGAGGTTAAATATCATAGAATTATTTATTAGATCTGACTGTGATATAGCCAACGGGAGAGAGAAATGAGATTCAAATCACTACAACAAAAAGGGAGAGAATTGATGGATGTCAACTCCGATGTTGTATGGAACACGTTGTATGGAACACGTTTGCACTAAAGAAAATACCAAACAGGTTGGTTTTGAGGCTAGCTCTGAAGTTTCCAAGATTGGGACATAACTCAATATCTGGAGACAGGAGGCGCCACTGAACTGTGTTTGCTGGAAGTATAAGATTAGCAGAAGAAATTAGCTAACCGTAAACTAATACAAAAATACAGTACAAAGTCAAGCCCTGGATACACTTAGATTTGGAGATTATTCAAATCAACGGTGACATTCTGATCAACTCCAACTTGTTACAATGTTGCTCATGGTTTCAGTGCACTACACACACTGAAGATGGCAGCAGCTAGGTCAGTATCGGAGACTCAGTATGACGAGACAATGCCTGAGGTAGATGAAAGCCTGGATAAACTGGTGGGCGAGAAGCCCAGGGTCCCGGACGGAGGATGGGGATGGTGGTGCGTCCTGGGGCGGTTCTATATCCACTTCCTCATCATCGGGACGAAGAGTGCTTTCGGCATAATCTATATTGAGCTTATCGACTATTTCCATGGCAACAGAGCTGAAACAGCGTGGGTGGGGTCCGTCGCGAGTGGGATCATACTGCTGATTGGTAAGGTCCCCTTGGAACATTGTCCATATCAGATCTACTTACTGCTTATAGAAAACTGCAGACAATGGTCATTCGTCTTTCCCCAATGGGACCTGGGTTAGAATTAATACAAGACTCTCACTAAGTACCAGCCCTGGAATATTTAATGTTGAATTTATTGGTGAATGTGAACATTCAAATTTCATTTTGCTTATCTTACACGATTCAAGGCCAATACCTCTTTGTAACCTCCATGTGACTGAATGAGAGCCAGCACTCTCCTCCTAATACCCCTGTCAGCCTCCTGATCCTCCGTAATTCCTCGTGTACACTGACTGACTGAGTTTGTTTTTACGCCGCCTTTAGCAATATTCTAGCAACATCACGGCGGGGGACAACAGAAATGGGCGTCACACATTGTACCCAAGTGGGGATTCGAACCCGGGTCTTCGGCGTGACGAGCCAATGCTTTAACCACTAGGCTACCCCACCGCCCCTCTCCTCATGTACATCAGCTTACGAGCCAGGTTCTGTACAGGATGATCCCTTTCTTGCACACGACGACCAATCATGTCCCAGATATGCTCAAAACATCGGGGCCCATTCAATCGGGGCCCAATGTCAGGGGGTGCTTAACTAAGTTCTTTGTGTATATTTATACCCAGTAACAAGAGTAGCGTTTAACAATAAACAAAGGAAATAAAAAAACTCCATATTTTGTCTCAATGTCAGGAAAACAGACCACAACTCTAGTGCTCCGATAGCATTAATGTCACATGCAAGGGCAACTGGCATCCCGTTAAGTTTATGTGACAATTTATCTGTGTCGTCATAACAACATGGCCCATGACAGTTTGTCTGCTATGCTATAATGGCCATATGCCTGAATGCGGCATAAAACAACACACGCTCTCTCTTTCCACAGCGCCACTGTCCGGGTGGATGACCGAGCGGTATGGGTGTCGACTGCCGACCATCGTAGGGTCCAGTGTGGCGACTGTGGGACTGTTCGCCAGCTGGTTCTCCACCAGCATGACCTCGCTGTGTGTTACCTATGGCGTGATTACAGGTGTGTAGGTGTCCGACATTGTCTACTGGATATTACAATTACAGGGAATTATGTGTGTAGAACACACGATGTATTCAAAAGCTATGTTTGTGTTTGTATGTGCGAAGATTGTCTGTTGCCTTTTTGTTAAAAAAAGAGGTTGATCCAAATTTGGCAATAATTGTCTGTGAAGAACATTAACATTTATCGGTGTAAATACAAACAAACGAATGAAGGTGTCTAGAGCAGTCAGTGGGTGGCAACATGTTTCACTGTTAGTTGTGTGTCTATTTAAATGATGTACCACATGCTTAGGACGTTGTCAAAGCGGTACAATGGGTTTTAGCAGAAATGTTTGATCGTTGCCGTTTGTTTGTTTGTGTCATTGCATCTCGACGTTGTTGTTTTAACATCAATCAAGGTTTGTCTGATCTGGTCCAGATCTGAGCATTTACTGTCATATGGACTATAGCTGCACCTGACAATATGTAATGGAGGATGCGATTTAACGCTGATTTGATGTTTGATGACATAAACTGCTGGGCATAAGGAAGAGCACACCCATAGATGGTTCCTAAAGAAACAGGGCGGTGGGATAGCCTAGTGGTTAAAGTATTGGCTTGTCCCGCCGAAGACCCGGGTTCGGTTTCCCACATGGGTACAATATGTGAAGCCAATTTCAGTTGTTCCCCGCCGTGATATGGTTGGAATATTGCTTAAAGCGACGTAAAACCATACTCACTCACTAAGGATGAAACCGTACGCGTTTATCGATGATGATGAATGTAATACTGATTTCATGCAGACTCTCTGTTGCTACATATACCGGTGAGATCTTCAGTGAGACCGTACAACTCGTGACGTGCACGTCTCAGGGAATACAGACGTTATAGTTTTTACTACATTTCTCTGCCCACCAGTTCATCTGTATTATAATCGTATCCCTTATTGTTGAAGAGTCTTAATGCGGTAATTATTCAGCCATTGTTCTTGAAGGATTGGGCCTTGGGTTGACCTTCATCCCGTCAGCCGTGATTGTTCTGCACTACTTCGACAAGAGACGAGGGTTTGCTTCAGCCATTGGATCAACTGGAGGGGGTATTGGTGCCATGGTGCTACCCTTGTTTTACGTCCACACCTTTGAGGAATACGGCTGGCGTGGGTCGCTCTGGATCCTGGCGGGTCTCGTGCTGAATGGGGTCGTGTGTGGCGCCCTGTTTCGCCCTCCACTCTGGCTAAAAACACCGGAACTGAAAGAACAGTGTGAAAAAGGTTTGAAATTAAACTATTGGTTCTTATAGTCATCCCAAATTTAAAAGATACAGGAATAAAAGGTAAAGGATCCTAGAAATAAATTATTTTTATTGATTGCATGAATAGACGAAGTTTTCAAAGGGTAAGCGAGTCTTTCCAAAGGGCTAGTTTTTAGACAATATATTTTGATTTCATCAACCTCGTATGGCTCTTTCATGGAACAACTAAGGTCTGTTGTAAATTGCACGGACGGTGCAAGTCATCTCGACTACCAGCCATCAGTTATCCACTGTTTGTGGAAGCCACGGTTGATGAGTGGGTTAGATCACTGACGCCAAGGTAGACTCTCTTCACTATGTTTATCCACGGAAGTCGTTGCTTCTGTTGGTTTTCTCAATGTTAAATGCCAATTCCGTGGATCACGCGGACCAAGACGTACAATAAGCATCAAGATCGGTTAAGCACTATCGTTAGTGAAATATACCTGACGTCGAAGGTGAGAATTTGCATGAACTTTCGCACGTTTGCACATATACATATTCATTACCAATAGAATGTTTGTAATTACACATCGGCCAATATTGGGCATGTAGTTAGCTGGCCACATTGTTGTAACGATGACAGGAGAGGCAAACAGTAAACACACAGTGACGTGATGTCGGACAGTGAATATCGCAATAGCACTTTTAACTTTTAAAATTATTTTTAGTTTGAAAATCAGAAATATTCCCAATCGCCACATTTATTAATATTTAAATTGGAGATATAAATATGAGTAGAAGTAACTGTTTAAAGAGACATATTGTCATTGTCAGCGATTTTCGTTCATAAATCGTTAATGATTTATTTAATCTTATGATCGTTCATGAAAACATGCTTCGAGTATTTCAACAACTCTACAAAGAGACCTTGAAATGAATAATCAGACCTATCCCTGTGAATGGAAGAGTCCTTTCGAGGTAAAAAGTGAGGAGGGCGTCTATAAGAGAAGAATATTGGACTACAGGAACATTGTGCCAGAGTGAACTAAACGTCTCTATCTTAACTATGAAAAAACTATGGTCTTAGAATTTGGTTCCAGCTTAAGTAATTTACGGGTAGGGAAGCTTACTGACGTACACGTTCAGTGAAATACAAGCTCAACAAATATAAGCGTCGGTGCAGTTGCGTCCCTCAGGAGTGTAAGGATGGTGTGATCATGGATTCCAGTCCCGGAAGTTGAGTCCTGGGCTCATCAGCAACCAATCTCTGCTCGAGGGTTTCAGCAGAGCGGACAACAAACACCTGCAGCACATTGACCTTCCATCCTTGATTAAACTCACATACCCCGATTTTAGTAACACAACGAGAATTTATTGCGTTTCCCCAGCATCATCGCTCTGTTGAAAACCTGTGGTTTGATGTTGTTTTCTTATAGCAGTAACCTGGTATGTGCTGGTTATACTTCTTCTAGTCTTGTTGCGAGTGACTGTTTCAGAGGTCAGCGGAAAGATAAAAACCACTTCACTACCGATGTAGATCTCTCCACACAGAAACCCACTGATAGCAGTGCCCAATGATGGACACAAACATCTAGGCTAATCGCGTCCCCTATTATGACGACCTCAGCCGTAATGGCGACATTGATTGTAGTGACGGGTTTATGTCGAATAATATGGGCTTTACTGATAGACGAGCTTAAACAAAAGTGTCACATTAATTGCCAAACTGTTGTCTTAATGGGAGACGGCGTTCCACAGGACCTAGCGTAATATACTGCTCAATGTTTAAAAGGGATACTCAGCCCTTAACGTGCTCAGTGTGAATGAAAAAGCTTATCATGATAACTCATTGATTTAAAACATCAATTAATACAATTATTTCAGTGGGAATGATAGCAAGACATATACTGGAAATATAATGACATAACTTATAGTCTGATCACGTAATTAATGGTCATGATAACTATTTCTGTCATTTGTTTACTTTAAGTGAAGTTAAATTAATATGATTAAATGTAAGACTAAGCACGAATGTTTCACGGTACAACTACCACCTGGTATGAAACGTTTTGGCTTTATGCTGTAAGCCATAGCACATTTTAAAATATATATTAAATGAAAATCGTACTGAAAGCAATTACTAGTTTCATAATGCATACAACATTTTTCATGATACACAGATAATGTGGAAACAAGAGCAGTAACTCTTTCTCCTACCCAGGTCTAGCATTACTCAGTCCTGTAACAGGACATACTATACGATAAGGTGCCTTCATGTATAACTGGGATAAATACTGAGTTTGGATGTAAGTGTTCATGGAAATCCTGAGCCAGATTTTGAGGAGGTTGTCAATATGTGAAGACCGATCATGATCTGTTGTTTATAAGGATGTTGCTTTTGGTCCTTTTTTACTTTTAATTGTATTTTATTTTTTGCATTTCTTACAGATGTTCCCAAATTTTGTAACAACATCGAAATGTAATCCATGTGTACACCCGCCATAGAAATACATCTACATTTATGCTCTCCATATATACTGTATATTAGTAATACTCTTGTCAAGATCTTATTGTATTGATAAAAGCTTTGGACGAAGGAGAATTCTTTGTACCAATTTACATGATTAGCAGTTAACAGGAAAATGTCTTGGCCCCATGACAGGCCGATGGCGCCAATTCCGGATTTGGTACGTCCTTTTATTGCGCACAACAAAGATGTACAGACCACGGAATGGCCATTATATCAGGGATCTTTAAATCAGGGCACCTTTCATGCTTTAAGGTCTTATCGTTTCAGAGTCAGAGTCCGAGACCAAAACTGTCCAGAAAAGTTCTCAAGCAAAGGAATTTTTCTCTGTGCTGAAAAACATACGGTTCGTTTTGTTTGCTTTGGGGACATTTTTCTGCAACGTTGGCTACGCCACCCCCCTCGTCCACCTCCCCGACATGGCATCGCAGAGAGGCTTCTCCAAATCAAATGTGGCTGTCCTCCTGTCCATCATGGGGATATCTGGCGTCATCCTGCGCCTTCCTGTTGCCTGGGTCAGCGACTTCCGGTCAGTGAGTCGCCTTCTGATCCACACCCTGTCCCTACTGGTGTGTGGGGTGGCAACAGTTATCTGCCCCTTCGTGTATTCCTACTGGGGTCTGGCCTTGTACTCAGCCGTACATGGGGGCTTCATTGGTACGTACTCGTTATAACGCATTGGTTCGTTCCCCTACAGTTATAGTAGCTAAACTGACGTACGAAACAAAGTACTCACGTGGTGTTTGGGGATTTTTGTAAATTTTTGTAAATATTTTGGAAAGTGGCTGGAAGTCTAGACCAGTGTGCCATGTTAGGGCTTGAGCATTGTTGAGTCAGGAGTTACACAACAAACAACACAGACGGACAGGAGAAGTCGGGGAAGCAGAGCAAGTTGTCGGGCAAGACGATGACAACCTCTCACCCCTCCCCACCTCCCCTCCCTCCAATTTAATTTGCTGTATACACGACAGCATCGACATATGTTTAATGACGTTTTAATTGCGCAAAAATATCTGCCTTAAATGCAGAAATTGTGCATGATAGCTGTGGCGCTCCAGTATAGTTGGATGACGGTCACGTCTCACCACGCACAGTACTCGTTAGAGGCGTCTTGTCGGCAGGGTCACATTAACAACTCATAATGTGAGTCACATTCTATAATTGCGTAGTTGGATGTCAATTACGCGTCTATATTTATATACCTTCTCAATACATAGATCAAGAGTAGCATCAAACAAAGAAATTAACACTCGTCCTGAAGGAAGTCAACGTATTAGAATTTGTACTTTACTCAGAAATCACTTCATGAGAGGCCTAATAACACCATGAATGGAGCCACTTTCTGTTCCGTGTCCAGGTGTGTACGGGTCGTTTCTGAGCGTCCTGGTTGCAGACATTGTTGGTGTGCGTGATTCAAACAAAGCATTCGCCTTTCTTGTCTTCTTCGGAGGCCTTCCGTCACTCTTCTCCTCGCCACTCGCAGGTAGGTGTCTGCTCTTCTCCTCGCCACTCGCAGGTTGGTGTCTGCTCTTTTCATGATGACGGCGTGTGTTGACCTTACTATGCACTGAACGTGGTATGAAAACATTCTACATGCAATTGGCTGACGTTTCCGCAAGCTTAATTCAGAGTGAGTGAGTGAGTGAGTGAGTGAGTGAGTGAGTGAGTGAGGATTTACGTTAATGTTAGCAACAGGCAAGGCTTATGAAACTCTCCTTGGGGGAGCCTGGGTAGAATATGTTCCAACACCCAATGTACGGTCATAAAGTGGCAATCGTGGGGATTCCGGGCAAACACAGAACCCTGAAAACCTTGTCGGAGAGGTGGATCGAGTGGTTGGGCGAAACGCGATATGTTACATTGGTCGATGGAATGTCAGCGCACCCTTACAGCGGGCATCGTTGTTCAATCACTCCATGATTTGCAGCCGCCTATACACACCAAGAATATTGATGAGTGCCTTTATTTAAAAGTATTAAAACCAGGAGGCCACGGATAAAGCGTCGATCTGTTTGTGTCAAATGATGTAAACCGTTGATCCGTTTTTGGTCATTTGACGTGCAATCTACACAAGATCATTCATTCATTCATTCATTCATTCATACAGACACACAGACAGACACACAGACAGACATGCATTCATGCATGCATGCACGCACGCACGCACGCACGCACGCACACATACATACATACATACAGACAGACAGACAGACATACATACATACATACATACATACATACAGACATACAGACATACATACAGACATACATACATGCACGCACGCACGCACGCACGCACACACACATGCATACAGACATACATACATGCACGCACGCACGCACGCACGCACGCACGCACACACACACACACATACATACATACATACATACAGACAGACACACACACAGACAGACACACAGACACACAGACACACAGACAGACATGCATGCATGCATGCACGCACGCACGCACGCACGCACATACATACATACATACATACATACATACATGACATCAATAACGTGTTCTATGTGATACATACCCATGTATCTGTTTCAGGGTGGATGTATGATGGCACCCAGTCCTACATTACCAGTTTCTGTTTCGCTGGATCCACATTCCTCGTGTCCAGCCTTTTAACCCTTGTAGTTTTCCTCATTGGATTCTTCAATAAACACTGATTCGTTGTCATCACTTCCTTCATTTAGTGATAGAACTCAGGTTCCTTGTATGGTTGACGTAACAGATGGTCCAATCCTGTAAGAAGCCGCAATATGCCGGACCGAGTTGCGTCCCTTGGACCTCCCAGAACCGTCGTCGTAGTTGCGGATCCTGATTCGCCTCGAGTCAAAACGTTTGTCAGCAACAAGCCATGTTCGGGGTTTTCTATCTGCATCACCTTAACAGTACATGGCACTATTTAAAACTGCTTTTAAGCCAAGTCACGGTCTCATATTTCACTACTGTTATATTAATGTGTGCTGTGAATCGTAAATGAATTAGTTAGTTGAGTTCAGTATCTTCATGCCTGGTTGTGTTTGTTATGTTCGATGCCTTACTGATTCAAATGACAGCTGTTGCAGGCGTGAGTATTTTTTTAGACACAGAAGGTTCGTTATATAATTGGTATTCAGTTGTCATACAGCTGCAATGTGGCGTGAAACGATAAACACACACACACACACACACACACAGAGACAGAGACAAAACAGATATTGAAGGCCACATCCAGCTGGGAACGGACGCCTTCAGAAACTGAACTCGTTATAAGGTATATATTTTAATAGATATGTGGTCTTTTATGTTGTAAACTTTGGCTGCAAAAGACTCAGACTGACTGTGTTATCTCACTTTAAAAGTTAGCAGATTATATTCGTGAAAATACATCGTTTGTTATTTGGGGAGAGTATGTAGACAAATACAGACATACAGGCACGGAAACTCATAGACTGAGGATGCTGACACTATCATGATGTCGTACAGACTGACTTCTTTGAGTGGCATTGTTAGAAGTTGGAAGTCATATAGAACAAGTATATATGGATGACAACTTCTTTTATTCTAGAGCACGACGTTTCGATACAAGTTCTTGTATCGTTTTCAAGTGAGAATAGAGAACAGGTGATATATATACAACAAGACTAATTAACAAGGCAAGGCGGAATAACAATGTGATGATAACAAATAAAGGGATGACAGAGGATTACAGGGATGAACATGGAGGCCGGTGGAAGCCAATGATACACAGAGAGTAGAATGTATACAAGATAAACAATGTGATGATAGTGAATAAAGGGTAGCAGAGGACAACGGGGATACACATAGAAGCCAGTAGAAGCCAGTAGAAGCCAGTAATGTTTGTACAAGAGGCTATGGTTGATTGATGAGCTCATCGTATGCAGTGGGGATAAATACCCTTGATCTCTATTAATCAGTGGTCGGTATCGTTTGATGTATATATATCACCTGTTCTCTATTCTCACTTGAAAACAATACAAGAACCTGTATCGAAACGTCGTGCCCTCGAATAAATATCATCCATATATTTTACTTGTTCTACTGCAGCAAAGTGACTAGATATTATCCTGAGATGACAGACTCGGTATTACATGGTGTTCCGTAAGGGGGTCATTATTTAGCTTGATCAGCTGTCTGTGTGTTGGTTATCGCTGCATCCAGCAACAAGACAGTCTAAAAACAATGAAACAGACGAAACAGTCTGAACGATTCTAGCCAGCAGGGTATAACGACGAGACACTGAGTCTGACCGCATGTAGCTTGTACTACGGCTGTCTCAGGCTTATGTTAAAGTACTGGAGCTTCGAGCGTTCGTGCTTCAATTTCTTTGTGGAACTGCTGCTGATCACCCCTGATCCTAAATCTATTCATGACTTGTTTTCTTTCTTACAAAGCACACAGCAACATCTCCCTCTACTATCCTACAAACGACAGGATTAACGCCTACTTTCCTTTGTGTAACAACAAAACCTACTTTCATACAAAACAGTGCCCCATACACCTTTTTCTGTTCAGGAGAATATGCTGTTATACAAAGCTTGTAACCAACTTCACGGTTCATATGTCGGTGAACTTCTATTGACCCACACACCATTCCCTGGTCCTGATTTACTACGCTACACGGTCTGACGGAAAGGTCTGTAAGCGAGTCACCAACCACAAAGTTGGCTTCACAATGTCAACATGGCGGCCAGTCCTGCTGATGATGATACAGTTTATTGGAAATCCAACTTCCAAAAACCCCTAGACGCAAAGGAAAGCCTTGACAATCGTCTTGATGGAAGGACGTGATAGTTTTCGTATCCATGAAAACTGGCGGTGGCAAATTCTTTCCCATTTTATCCATTTTAGTTTATGTGTTATGTAGACGTTAGATTGGTTGGCAATATATGTTAAAGATTAGAAAATGAAGGCTATTGAAGATCGTTTTCTTTACGCTCCATGGGCCACAAACTACTATATCCTACAAATGCATTGGATACTAGACAAATACATTCAGCGCCCAGTTGTATATCGTTTGGTCTGACCTCTGTCTTGCACACTTGGATGGTTTTAGTGTCATCATGAATAGGGACATCGTACATTCTGTCATCATCGTGTGCTCAACATGAACTGCTAAACTAGTTTCTGCTGAACTAGACTTTTAACTAGTTAGGTTTCTTCAATTATGTTTATCAACTGGCTTTTGCTTTGACACTTTCTTCTCATTATCTGAGACTGTGGGGCTGCTGAATGCTTTATAGAAGAACCGCAAATCAGTGTCTGGATTGCCTCTATATACAACGAGCATGTAAGTCAACTTTCTCTCAACCTCGTTGTCTGATTGCTTGTTGTTACGTGCTGGGAGACAGATGTAACATTCAGTTGTTCCAAGTACGTATCATAGTTCCCAGCGTATCTCTTATTTATTCAATCACAATTGTAAGTTAAACTTGACTTTCTATTGTGTGTTCAAACTTTCTTATCTTGTTTTTGCTTTATGGTAACTACAGTCATCTTAAGATTAGTATGACTGGTCACCCAAGACTGATTGACTATCTACGTTAACTGACTGATATACAATAACTGATCGATTTACAGTAACTGACTGATATGCAATAACATATCGATATGCAATAACAGGTCTACAATTACTGGTCAATATACAATAACTGACCAACCTACAAAACCTGATAGACCAACAATATCTGACTTATATACAATAACTGAACGATATACATTAAGTGACTGATATACAATAACTCACCAATATACAATAACTCACCAAGATACAATAACTAACCGATATACAATAACTAACTGATATACATTAAGTCACTGATATACAATAACTCACCAATATACAATAACTCACCAATATACAATAACTCACCAATATACAATAACTAACTGATATACAGTAAGTCACCGATATGCAATAACTAACCGATATACAATAACTAACCGATATACAGTAAGTCACCGATATGCAATAACTCATGGATCTAACGTACATTGAAACTTTGAAAAATGCTGTCAACCAATTCTAGAGACCCTGGAATATTGCTCGAGATAGAACTGGAAGTTGACTATGTTTGAATTATTATGCATACAGTGTTTGAATCTTTATGCAAAGCAGATGAGGATGTTTGGCTGGTCTGTTTACTTTTATCTTAGGCGTTAAATTAAATTAAATGAAACTATTTTGATATTTCCAGTCCGACTCGTTTACAGATCGGCAGGGAGGGGGGCACGTTTGTTGCCTCTGTCATGCATTTCACAAACTGTTCTCCGCGGACATTTGTTGGCATTGCTTACACTTTCACCCCAATTTCCGCATCCTTTGAAGATCCTTTGGCATCACATATTACAAAGCTGAAAATATTTTGACGTAAAAATATGAAATGGTGAAATGACTTGGGGGCATGGTGGGTGAGCTGTCTACGGTGCCAGTGATCCAGCGAGCCCACCTGTGGCCGGGTGTAAAAACCTTGGAGTCAACTTTGTGTGCAGACTCTTTCAGTGTTGTCACAACCCCTAGTGTACAGTACACAACCCTGTGCACTTAAACAAACCCACGAACCCGTTTGTAAATGACCAGATGGTGGCAACATGAATACCTGCAAAAACCTAGTTGCGGCTACAGCAACGTGCAGTAACCTTGGACAAAGTACTGTGACAATGTGTCCCAGTCCACCCATCTGTGAATGGGTACCTCGTAAGGATGTGAAAGGCGCATTAAATTGGTGTGCCTAGTGGCTGCAAGAGTTGTATGATCCTCAGGGAGTTGAGATTGATGAAACGATGTGCCGTTGAGATTGACATCCAATGATCGAGGGGAAAAACCCAGCGCCTTGAGTAGGTACTAGTTGCGATGATATGTGCGCTATATAAATATCCTATAATGAATGGCAAAAAGATCAAACACGTCCTTCGTCTTTGAGAATTCAAATGGTGTTAAATGCATGTGAGTAACCCCAATTTCGATGGCATGTCAGTTATATTACCACCAGAGGGCGTGTCAGAGGGCGTGTCGATCCCAGCGTCAGGGGACGCTACTCTGTTCAACACATTGCAGCATGTGCCACACATTACTATGTACTATGTACTATCAATATGAAGGTATTTTCTTCATCTGAGCACCAGATGGCGTTGTATAACCGCATGCCATTATCTCCTATGTTGGTTTGATTGCAATCAAAATTACATATTTCCTCACCATGTTAAATGACATGCCAGCACTATATTATGTCCTTGCTATTAATCCCATTATGGACTGACTGATATGCATCGTCATGGACGTGATCATTAACATTCCACATCAGGCGTCACCTGTACATGTTAGAGCCGTTCAGATCGTGTCATCCTGACTTTCAGTGTTTGCTTGTTACAGTCGGTCCGTGCATGTGTGGGGTGCGATCCAGGCTGAGGTCATCTGGTCAGGACAATGAAGAAGACCAACACTGAACTGACCATTAGCGTGGACGCGGAGGAACTGACGCCATTGGATTACCCAACGGATGAAATTACGGCAATTCCAAACACAGATGAGGTTGACAAAGCATGTGATAATGTAGATAACCCGTCCCCTCCGGATGGGGGGTGGGGGTGGATTTGTGTGGGGGCAAGGTTTGTGTCTGTGTTTATATGTTTTGGTGTAGTGTACAGTTTCGGAGTCATCTATGTGGAACTTGTGGATGTATTCAGCGCCACCAGGGCAGAGGTGGCCTGGGTGGGCTCCGTGGCAAGTGGAGCTATGCACATGGCAGGTAAGACTGACGGCAGAGGGGTGAGGGTTGGGGGAGTACGGGTTGGGTAGGGGTGGCGGGTAGGGGTGTGCTGTTAGGGGCTGGTTTATCTTGCACGTGTTCAGTACGACATCACCATGACTTTTGTGAACTGTTAGATGACATTTATCGATCAATGGTTCAATGATATACAATGGCAATTCATGAAGCACGCACCTTGACCATTGTCTGTAGTACACATAACTGCCCGTGAAAACATACGTACCCGCGACCACTGTCCTTGTTTGAAGATATGTACATATGTGAGTAGGGCCTAACATTAATACATTTATTAATAATATATTCCGGAATAGTATGAATAGATGTGAGATGTTCATTGAGATATCGACAGATGGTACCTATCCACTTCGTGAGTTTATTCGTCGCCGGTGTTAAAATAAATGTAAATCTTCTAAAGCTATGAACAAAGGAACAAAGCGGCAGGAGATTGTTATCCACCGCTCTGTTGCACGTGGTACACAATAACTCACGAGGCAGGCAAGCGTAACTTGAGTATGAACTATCAGATCACCCACTACTTAAGAATTGAATGTCAGTTTGTGTGTTTGCACTGAAAAATGAACGATGTCAAAGCGGTGTTCAAACTCGTGTGAACGAGCGAGTTTACGAGCGAGTTCACACGAAGTTTGAACAACGCTTTGACATCGTTCAGCGTTTTTCAGTGCAAGTGAACAAAAAAACTGACATTCAATCTTATAATTCGTACTTTGAAGTTTACACATACGTTTTCACCCTCTTCTACGTGATCAGTGTTTACAGTGATGTACAGCGATGTGTCTATACTTGGCGATATTTTACACATGTATCCCAACCCTTGAATAAATAGTTCTCAAAGTTTTCCTTAAAATATTAACAACAAATTCGTCATTAGGTTTGAAACTACTTTAATAAGTATAACATCAATAAAATTATCAAACAGAAACAAATATCAATATCAAGTTTAACAAACTGTCATTGTAGCTTTACACTCTGACGTATTCGTTTGACCGCGTAATGATACACTGACCGACTTCGAAGTTGTGCGGCGTGGCGAATTGGAAGCAGATCTCGTTGTTGAATTCTATTTATTTGTGGTTGTTTATCGTGAAATTTATGGAGCAGTTGTTAAACACACCACGGGGCAGAAAACCGCCAGACGAAGCCGCAAACTGCGAGAGATTGAACTCTTGTGAAAACGAGCAATTTTCGGATATTGGAAATCCGTTGGGTAGTGAAGTGACATTGCCGAAATTGGGGCGACTTGAAACGGTCGCGAAATTGGCATCACCGCTTGCGGCAAGGTCATTGGGGTTCCTTGAAACCGAAGCGGAATTTTGAAAGTTAGGGCACTTGTCGGACGCGTTGTCAGTGAGATTTTGCAAAACTGTGCTCAGTTGGTGTTTTTTTGTCATTCGAAATGGACCTATTGTAGGAACGAATACTGGCTTCGTTCCTGTGGCCAAATAAATACATTATGTGCCTTAATTCAACGTTTGCATCAGCAAGTGCCTGGATGGCTGTTGCTCGGACACAGCGTGGGGTGTATACGCGACTGAGGCCACATTCCTTTGACACTGTTCGGATTATTTGACCCAGTTGGCGCTCGGACATGGGTTTTCCCGAATACCAAACTGGGTCATTAAGCGTGGCATTTGATTTTGGAATGCAGAATAACTTGTCTGCTTGTGGTGGCAATTTGGAAATCAACAATTTCAGATTAGCAACAGGGCATCGCGATGTATCGGACGCGTACATACGTTTATCAGGAGTGTTGTTCAACGGATCATGGAGCCCTCCCTGAGAATTTTTATGAATGGTCTCGTGAGTAATAGCCGCGTACTCCCTACCCTCATCATCAACACGAAATTCAAACGAATCCGGCTTTAGTTGACTGTGAAATTCTAAACCTCTGGATACGAAATGGATTGACAGATCAAACCAACATTTGTAAAGTGAACAAGTTGGAGATTCATGGTCAAGATAAGCTTGAATTTTAACCATATCACCATTGTCAATAACCGGCTTGTGTTTAGTTGGTTTGACTTTCCTTCATGAACAGAAGCTTTTAATTTTCCATTGAGCAAGTCGTTTGCTCTCTGGAATTCTCTGTCTTTGACAATGTCAATTGGACGACCCAGCAGTCGGAGGTGTCTGTTCAAAGCTGCTCTCAGATTTTTCAAAGTGTTGCGATGGTAATCCTCGGACGAGGAAACTGTGATAGCCTTGCCATTGGATACTTGTGGGCGTGTCTCGGCGTAAAAACACCTCAGGAGATCGGCCAATGCAGTAGGAAGGATTGTTTCCCAATTCACCTGGATATTCCTCGTTTGGAATGACCAATCTGTAAAAAGTTTTAAAAAAGGTACGTGGCTATTGCTGTTTCTTGTGGGTTGTCATTTGTGGAGTCATATTTGTGGATATAGGTATGATGTATACTTTCTCATTGTTGTATTTTCAGTTTAGGTTTGACGTAAGCATTGCAAAATTTTAGAATCAATCTATAATTTAGGCCTTATCCATTGATGTAGGGTTACAAGGGTTTATTGTACTTAGTCACAATGTAGGTCTACTGTGTATAGGCCTTATACCGTATGTTTATTCCTCTGAGGTTAGATTTTTAAGGCTACAAAACAACTTACCATTGAACATTTTTAGTCCCCACCTTGTATTTTTCATTGTCGACTGGCTGTGGCGTTGTTGTTCAAGGCTTTGAAGTTTTTCTTCCGAAGAAATTACAAATCTTGATGTGGATGTGGCCTTTTGAGGACCGATTTTGTCATCAGTGGTCACGGGCGTTTCCATTTTATGATCTGGTCATTTAATATCGAATCCGCAGATGTAGGACAGGTCCCTCATCAGTCATCTCGGAAAATAGTTGCTCAAGATTCACATCTTGCAAAAAATCCATATCCACAATATTTGCGGTGCCAATAGAAAAATTGCCGTAGTCTACGCCGATGTTGTCAGCCATGACTTTGCAGTAGCAGACGACAAACGAGCGAAAAACATTGTTTTTAATAAAGAAATATTAAAAATATCATTTTATTTGATTTATGAACTTTGTTATATACAAAAACAACTAAGTGATATGTAGAAATTAAAAGCAGTGTGAATACAAATAATTGTTATTTTGTTTACGTGAAGCTGGACAGAGAGTATCCTGGGAAAACCCAGAAAGTAGTTCCGGCAAAAGTTCACATGACCTAGATCGGCTGGAAAACGTTCACACACGTATGAACGATTTGAAGGGTTCAAGAGATATGAACCTTGAATTTTAGATCACATGACCGCTCTCTCAACCAACCAACGTTCGGGAATCTGTGTAAACTTCAAAGCACGAAATTATATGATAATGAACCTCCTGTCTATTACAGTGAATGACTTACTGTATGTGTGTGTATTGGGTGCTGAGCGTAACCATGACAAATGAATAAATGGTTGTATAGTGCATAAACTGAATATTCCAAAACTACGTTGAAACATTGTTTTAAAGCTCAATGAAAACCACGGACAACATTATCACCTATTTTTACGTCATTATAGATGATACGACTTATATCATCCTAGTAACATGTTGTTGCAACAATGGTTCCTTACAATAGGAACCAGAAAACTGGCACCGGGATCCTGTCACTCTGGTAGACAGCAGCCTCACACATATGAACGTGCATTAAGTGGTTTTTGTCTTTACTATGAAAGGGTGAATACACATTGGTGAATCTTTGGTGGGACAACTGAGGCCGTTGTTCAAAGCAACCTTAGCTCTACACCATTCTGAAGTCGATGTAAAGGTATGGGAGTTAAGATCCCGTTGGCGCTGAGATTGCTTTTTACAACGGCACCTATACACCTGGTTATCGTTTCATATACGATGCATAGAGGACAGATATTGAAAACAGCTCAGTTAAATATTAAGCCTATCGTGGCAGATATTATCTTGTCCATTCGCTGCCCTCTGACAATGGTTGCCTATGTTATATATTGGAATGATATTACTGAAACGCTGCTCACACGCTGTAGATCGTCTTCACGAGATCTCAAATCACCGCGATGTTATGAATACACACAACCTTGCGGACAGTTGTTGAATGCATTATATATGGATTATATATGGATTATACATGGTATACACTTTCGAAAAGACATTTATATAACAACCTAATGACACAAAGTCCCTCATCTAAACCTACTAGTTGTCCGACATCCATGTTGGAAGCGTCGATGGCTGAGTGGGTTAGACGACTGTCTTTCTGTGCTTGTGATTAGGTCTTTCACTCTTACAGCGTGGGTTCGAATCCAGATGGGATTCAACCTAACAAAAGTACTAGAATTTGTACGTTACTGTGCAAGTGTAATCTTGAATATAATATAATTTGCATTGAGATGTAACTAACTGTCAATTACCTGCAGGTCCTCTGTCAAGTCTGCTTAACGAGCAGTATGGGTTCAGGGTGACAACCATCATTGCCGGCGGGGTGGCCGCTGTCGGCTTCCTGGTCAGCGCCTTCGCTCCAAGTCTGTTCTTCCTTTACTTCAGTTTCGGTGTAGTAGGAGGTAAGAGACAAAATGACACACCTGTATCACACTTACATCACGGTGTCAGGTGAGTGAAGGGGCACAATGACACACCCATATCACACTTACATCACGGTGTCAGGTGATTGGAGGGACACAGTGACACACCTGTATCACACTTACATCATGGTGTCAGGTGAGTGGAGGGACACAGTGACACACCTGTATCACACTTACATCAAGGTGTAAGGTGAGTGGAGGGACACAGTGACACACTTATATCACACTTACATCACGGTGTCAGATGAGTGAAGTGACACAATGACACACCTATATCATACTTACATTAAGGTGTCAGGTGAGTGGAGGGACACAGTGACACACATGTATCACACTTACATCACGGTGTCAGGTGAGTGGAGTGACACAATGACACACCTGTATCACACTTACATTAAGGTGTCAGGTGAGTGGAGGGACACAGTGACACACCTGTATCACACTTACATCACGGTGTCAGGTGAGTGGAGGGACACAGTGACACACTTATATCACACTTACATCACGGTGTCAGGTGAGTGGAGTGACACAATGACAGACCTAGTATCACATCACACTTACATTAAGGTGTCAGGTAAGTGGAGGGAAACAGTGACACACCTATATCACACTCACATTAAGGTGTCAGGTGAGTGGAGGGACACAGTGACACACCTATATCACACTTACATTAAGGTGTCAGGTGAGTGGAGGGACACACCTGTATCACACTTACATCACGGTGTCAGGTGAGTGGAGGGACACAGTGACACACCTATATCACACTTACATTAAGGTGTCAGGTGAGTGGAGGGACATAGTGACACACCTGTATCACACTTACATCACGGTGTCAGGTGAGTGGAGGGATACAGTGACACACTTATATCACACTTACATCACGGTGTCAGGTGAGTGGAGTGACACAATGACAGACCTATATCACACTTACATTAAGGTGTCAGGTAAGTGGAGGGAAACAGTGACACACCTATATCACACTCACATTAAGGTGTCAGGTGAGTGGAGGGACACAGTGACACACCTATATCACACTTACATTAAGGTGTCAGGTGAGTGGAGGGACACAGTGACACACCTGTATCACACTTACATCACGGTGTCAGGTGAGTGGAGGGACACAGTGACCCACTTATATCACACTTACATTAAGGTGTCAGGTGAGTGGAGTGACACAATGACACACCTATATCACACTTACATTAAGGTGTCAGGTGAGTGGAGGGACACAGTGACACACCTGTATCACACTGACATCACGGTGTCAGGTGAGTGGAGGGACACAGTGACACACCTATATCACACTTACATCACGGTGTCAGGTGAGTGGAGGGACACAGTGACACACCTATATCACACTTACATTAAGGTGTCAGGTGAGTGGAGGGACACAGTGACACACCTGTATCACACTTACATCACGGTGTCAGGTGAGTGGAGGGACACAGTGACCCACTTATATCACACTTACATTAAGGTGTCAGGTGAGTGGAGTGACACAATGACACACCTATATCACACTTACATTAAGGTGTCAGGTGAGTGAAGGGGCACAATGACACACCCATATCACACTTACATCACGGTGTCAGGTGATTGGAGGGACACAGTGACACACCTGTATCACACTTACATCATGGTGTCAGGTGAGTGGAGGGACACAGTGACACACCTGTATCACACTTACATCAAGGTGTAAGGTGAGTGGAGGGACACAGTGACACACTTATATCACACTTACATCACGGTGTCAGATGAGTGAAGTGACACAATGACACACCTATATCATACTTACATTAAGGTGTCAGGTGAGTGGAGGGACACAGTGACACACATGTATCACACTTACATCACGGTGTCAGGTGAGTGGAGTGACACAATGACACACCTATATCACACTTACATCAAGGTGTCAGGTGAGTGGAGGGACACAGTGACACACCTGTATCACACTTACATCACGGTGTCAGGTGAGTGGAGGGATACAGTGACACACTTATATCACACTTACATCACGGTGTCAGGTGAGTGGAGTGACACAATGACAGACCTATATCACACTTACATTAAGGTGTCAGGTAAGTGGAGGGAAACAGTGACACACCTATATCACACTCACATTAAGGTGTCAGGTGAGTGGAGGGACACAGTGACACACCTATATCACACTTACATTAAGGTGTCAGGTGAGTGGAGGGACACAGTGACACACCTGTATCACACTTACATCACGGTGTCAGGTGAGTGGAGGGACACAGTGACACACCTATATCACACTTACATTAAGGTGTCAGGTGAGTGGAGGGACACAGTGACACACCTGTATCACACTTACATCACGGTGTCAGGTGAGTGGAGGGACACAGTGACACACCTATATCACACTTACATCACGGTGTCAGGTGAGTGGAGGTGACACAGTGACACACCTATATCACACTTACATCAAGGTGTCAGGTGAGTGGAGGGACACAGTGACACACCTATATCACACTCACATCAAGGTGTCAGGTGAGTGGAGGGACACAGTGACACACCTATATCACACTTACATTAAGGTGTCAGGTGAGTGGAGGGACACAGTGACACACCTGTATCACACTTACATCATGGTGTCAGGTGAGTGGAGGGACACAGTGACACACCTATATCACACTTACATTAAGGTGTCAGGTGAGTGGAGTGACACAATGACACACCTATATCACACTTACATCAAGGTGTCAGGTGAGTGGAGGGACACAGTGACACACCTGTATCACACTGACATCACGGTGTCAGGTGAGTGGAGGGACACAGTGACACACCTATATCACACTTACATCACGGTGTCAGGTGAGTGGAGGGACACAGTGACACACCTATATCACACTTACATTAAGGTGTCAGGTGAGTGGAGGGACACAGTGACACACCTGTATCACACTTACATCACGGTGTCAGGTGAGTGGAGGGACACAGTGACACACTTATATCACACTTACATCAAGGTGTCAGGTGAGTGGAGTGACACAATGACACACCTATATCACACTTACATCAAGGTGTCAGGTGAGTGGAGGGACACAGTGACACACCTGTATCACACTGACATCACGGTGTCAGGTGAGTGGAGGGACACAGTGACACACCTATATCACACTTACATTAAGGTGTCAGGTGAGTGGAGGGACACAGTGACACACCTGTATCACACTTACATCACGGTGTCAGGTGAGTGGAGGGACACAGTGACACACCTATATCACACTTACATCAAGGTGTCAGGTGAGTGGAGGGACACAATGACACACCTATATCACAGTTACATCAAGGTGTCAGGTGAGTGGAGGGACACAGTGACACACCTGTATCACACTTACATCACGGTGTCAGGTGAGTGGAGGGACACAGTGACACACCTGTATCACACTTACATCACGGTGTCAGGTGAGTGGAGGGATACAGTGACACACTTGCATCACACTTACATCACGGTGTCAGGTGATTGGGGAGAAACAGTGACACATCTATATCACACTTACATCAAGGTGTCAGGTGAGTGGAGGGACACAGTGACACACCTATATCACACTTACATCACGGTGTCAGGTGAGTGGAGTGACACAGTGACACACCTATATCACACTTACATCACGGTGTCAGGTGAGTGGAGGGACACAATGACACACCTGTATCACACTTACATCACGGTGTCAGGTGAGTGGAGGGACACAGTGACACACCTGTATCACACTTACATCACGGTGTCAGGTGAGTGGAGGGACACAGTGACACACCTATATCACACTTACATCACGGTGTCAGGTGAGTGGAGTGACACAATGACACACCTATATCACACTTACATTAAGGTGTCAGGTGAGTGGAGTGACACAGTGACACACCTGTATCACACTTACATCACGGTGTCAGGTGAGTGGAGGGACACAGTGACACACTTATATCACACTTACATCAAGGTGTCAGGTGAGTGGAGTGACACAATGACACACCTATATCACACTTACATTAAGGTGTCAGGTGAGTGGAGGGACACAGTGACACACCTGTATCACACTTACATCAAGGTGTCAGGTGAGTGGAGGGACACAGTGACACACCTATATCACACTTACATCAAGGTGTCAGGTAAGTGGAAGGAAACAGTGACACACCTGTATCACACTGACATCACGGTGTCAGGTGAGTTGAGGGACACAGTGACACACCTGTATCACACTTACATCACGGTGTCAGGTGAGTTGAGTGACACAGATACACATTTTACATCACGGTGTCAGGTGAGTGGAGGGACACAGTGACACACCTGTATCACACTTACATCACGGTGTCAGGTGAGTGGAGGGACACAGTGACTCACCTATATCACACTTACATCACGGTGTCAGGTGAGTGGAGGGACACAGTGACCTGTACACCTGTATCACACTTACATCACGGTGTCAGGTGAGTGGAGGGACACAGTGACACACCTATATCACACTTACATCACGGTGTCAGGTGAGTGGAGGGACACAGTGACACACCTGTATCACACTTACATCACGGTGTCAGGTGAGTGGAGGGACACAGTGACACACCTGTATCACACTTACATCACGGTGTCAGGTGAGTGGAGGGACACAGTGACACACCTGTATCACACTTACATCACGGTGTCAGGTGATTGGAGGGACACAGTGACACACCTGTATCACACTTACATCACGGTGTCAGGTGAGTGGAGGGACACAGTGACACACCTGTATCACACTTACATCACGGTGTCAGGTGAGTGGAGGGACACAGTGACACACTTATATCACACTTACATTGGTGGGTGTGATAAACTTACAGCGGAGAAGAAGCTGGTAGATGTGTACAGAGAGGATAAAGACGGATTAAATGCAGTTCGACAGTCACTGTATGATATTTCGAAAGAGAAATGTGAAATGTTCCCAGAAGGCTCATTGACAAAACGTGTCAACAGGGCGGAG